TCTGCAGTCTTCAAAAAAACAAACAGTCTGCGAAGGCTAATGTCTGCGCGTGGTCTGCGCCGCACAGACAGAAGAGGTCACGCAGATCTGTAGACAAAAAACAAACACTACCTAAGTGTCAAGTGACACATTTTTAAAGATTGATTTTAATGATGTCATGTGACATATATTTTGAATTTTAAAATATAAAATCAAGATTTAAATTTTAAAATCGTTAATCATTACATTTTACATACTCTATTCTTATATTCCCTAATAAATAACGATTTTTTTTGCCACATGTCATATTCTTATTTATTTTGCCATATGTAATTTTGTGGTTATTTTAAATTAATTTTTATTCAACGTGTCATTTTATGGTTTTTTTTTCATTTTATTAAATTCTAGATAGTATTTAAATGCATTAATAAATGCATATCAATTTTATTAATGAACTTTCCTTCTAATTTCAAAATTACTAAATTAAAGATTCATTAATTTTCTTTATTTATTTATCTAAATTATTTGTTTAAATTTAAAAGAGAAAACAAAACACTTTAATTTTTATAATTCAATATTTTCTCATTTTTCTTATAAATTCAAATTTCTCAAATGTTTAGAATTTTGTATTTAGTTTTTCTTTTAAAAAAACTCATGTAATACATGAGTATCACACCTAATAAATAAATATAATATTGTCATTCTTTTTATATCTTAAATGTAGTCCACCTTGAGAAAAAAAAAGATCACATATTTTAAAGCAATAACTCTAAAGTTAAAACTTAAATCCTTTAACTATTCATCTTTTGCTATATTTGGAAGGCATAATTTACACAAATCATATAAGAAATGAATAGTTGAAGTAACTAATTATTTTTTAGATTGGTAGGATGTATTTTTTTTCTTTCATCAAAAGATAATATTTTTTTATTTAAATAATATTATCTTACAATCATCTAAACCATCTTTTGTTTAAAAATAAAAAACAAAATAAAATTTTAAATCATTCAAGTCTCATTTATTAAAGTACAATATCATCCTACATTACGATCATACTTCAATAAAATTTACTATTGAATTTTTATAATTTTCTTATTTTATCAATTTATTTTCATTGTCTATTTTATAAACTCGTTATTTCCACGAGTCTCTAACTTAATGTATTTAATATTTAATAAAGTTGTAGAGGTTTTGTTTATTAGCTGAACATTTGTGAAAGAACTAAACTAGGTGGGAAAACACGGGTCTCAACCAGGCTCTTAGACTATCCCCATCAGCAACCTAACCCAATCCAACTTTTTAATAAAAAACTAATTTCTCTCTCTTCCACCTATACAACCCAACCCAATCTAATTTTTTACCCTCGTTAGCAACCCAACCCAAACTCATTTTTCCTTAAAAAATATATTCCCTCCGTCCCAAAATTATTGTCCACCTTACTATTTTAGTTTGTCCCAAAATTATTGTCCACTACCAAAAGTAGATTACACTTTTACCATATTACCCCTAACCTTTAATAAAGTAAACTTGAATAATTACAAACGCACATTTCCCATTGGTTTTAGAAAAGGGAAAGAGGGTCATTTTACTCAAAAAGACAAAACTAATGATTGCTTTTCTTAATCTATGTGTTTTTTGTCTGTGGACAATAATTTTGGGACGGAGGGAGTAATTTATTTTACCAAAAACTACTAGAAATATTAAAATTAAATATTTTATTTTGAAACAACTAAATTATTTATTTCAAGCATGAAATTATAAAAAATTATTTTACATTCATGAAAAATACTTAATAAAATAGATAAAATAAGTTACAAATACGGAAGATGCAAACTACATAATTATTCTTCAGTGTTGAATTTTTTCCATATATGCTCGATCAAATCGTCTTTTAGAGCGTTATGAGCATCTCTATTACGAACTTGTGCCCTGTTCGTCATATAACTAGATAGATCTACAATTCGTTGAGTAGAGTATTCAAATGATTGTTCGTCTTCTGTTGTTATAAATTTGGATGGATCATAATAATGAAGGTATGTGTGTCGTTCATCCTCAACTATCATATTATAAATGATGATACATGCAATCATAATTTTACCCATCATATCTTTGTCCCACACAAGACAAGGGCGATGAAGAAATGCAAAACGAGCTTGTAAAACTCCAAATGTTCGTTCAACATCTTTTCTATCAGCCTCTTGATCGATGTTCAGCGAACAACTTGTGTTTTCGAAGTTGTGGAAAACTTATTGACTTGACAATGGCAGCCCATGAAGGATATATGCCATCAGTGAGATAATAAGCCATATGATTTTCTCGATCATTCACAGTGTAACTCACCTTTGGTGCTTGACCTGCCAAGACATCATCAAAAAGAGGAGATCTTTGGAGGATGTTAATATCATTGCATGAACCCGGTGTTCCGAAGAATGCATGCCATATCCATAAGTCATACGATGCAACAGCTTCCAAAATTATTGTTGTCTTACCGCTACTACCTACATATTGTCCAGCCCAAGCGGTCGGACAATTTTTCCATTCCCAGTGCATGCAGTCAATACTGCCTACCATACCTGGAAATCCACGTTCTTATCCAACATGGAGCAGTCGTGCCAAATCATCTTGATTGGGGCGTCTAAGGTACTCTTCACGAAAGCATGAAATAACACCTTCCACAAACTTTACAAGAGCATCCCTTGTTACAGTCTCACTCATTCTCAAATATTCATCATGTGCATCTGCTGATGTCCCATATGCCAACACCCGCATAGCTCCGGTACATTTTTCTAATGGTGAAAGACATTGTTTGCCTGTGGCATCACGTCTTTGTTGAAAATATCGGTCATTGGCTGTAACAGCTTCCACTATACGGAGAAATAGTGGTTTTCGCATTCGAAAATAAAACATACTGAAAATAAAACATACACTAAACTGTAATTAGTTTCCATAAAACTTAGACATTAGAAAACATTTCATGTTTTCTTCTTCAGGCGACAATTGCTCCTTTTGTAGGAGTGTGTTCAAATGCAAACTCTGCATCTTTATTAGCTCCCTTTCATCCGTTTTTTGCTCCCTTTGTTGATCCAAGTCAAGTCTTTTTTTCATTACTTCTACTTCACTATCTCTACTAAGTCTCATCGCACGAAGTTCTGCAACAATTTCATTAGAAGACTTACCTTTTTTCTTTTCTTTTAGCTGCATCTCTACCTGTTGGACGTTTAATTGTTGAACCACCAATACTTGCCCCTTCTTTGTTCGATTGGACACAATAGTCTCCTTCTTCAGTAGACCTTGATCTTTTTGTGCTACCACCACTTTCTTCATCATCCACTTCATATTCAGGACGTGATCGTGTTGCATCATGATCTAGCTGTAGATCCCATTTTCGATGCTTACACATAACCTCATTAAACACAATCGTGTCATTGAACTTGCTTCCAGTTGTCTCATATAACTTATGAGCTTCATTCTCAACATCTTTCATACTCATTCCACTTCTTCTTTTTCTATACGCTTCTCGATAACCACCAACCCATTTTCCAGCACTTTCATTAAGTCGTTTATAACGACCTTTCATTTGAGCTATGTTCCTATTACCAAGCTTTCCTGGGTTTTCTGCTTGATTTGCATCATATAGCTCTTTCACTTATGCCCATATTGATGTTTTCTTTTGGTTTTTCCACGACGCTTATCTTCACTAACGATGCAATATGCTGACATTAAAGCGATATCTTCAGCAGCATCCCATTTATCGCCTCTTGGGTTTTTTCCGGTATTTTGTGAGGTTTGAATATTTTTAGTGACATGGAATTGATTCAAATTTGGGAAAAATTGAGAGCTTTCATAACCTTGAAAGTTTTGATAATCTTGAGAATCGTCAAGATTTAAAACGAGATTTGGATCCATGGTATCAAAGAAATAAAAAGGTTTAGAAACAAAGAGTTAAGATGAGATATGAACTATATCAATATTATATTCTATTTATAGAGAAAAAAAATCATGAATTTTAGTATTTTTTAATTTTTTTTTTATTAAGATAATGTTGGATTTTTAAAGATAATAACTCTTATCTAAAAATCTAAAAAAAATATATACAACTCCCCTTTCAATGCATAACACGTGGCAGATAAGATGTGGTGAATTTTGGTGAATTTTGGCTCGTCCATGTGGCCTAGGCCACCGTTATTAATTTCATTTTTTTTTTTACTTAAAATCAGTGATCTGCTCGTGAAAGTGTGCCGATGGGGTAGCCTTAACGATTGTAACTTGTAACCCGTTTTTTATCACTATCAATTGTCAACTGATCTTGGGCTTTGATTAACTTAGTCGGATGCCCACGGACCACCTAGAAAAGTAACAAGTATAAAATCTAAAGAAATGCTCGTCGTCCCAATTACAATTAACAAAGTATTTTGGGCTAAAAGATGCAAATAATGAAAGTGATGTAAAATTTTCCTTTCCATGGATTCTACGATGTTCAAAAAGTCTTGATTTGTAGTTTGTGATTTTAATTTTTGAGTTCTTTTTTATTACTACTTTATGATTTTTTCTATGAGGTGTCCGGCGTTTGTTAAAGTGCCTACGTGATATAACTCTAGAAGAGAACAAGAGAGATAGATAATAGTTTTTTGAAACCAACTCTAATGTTAATTAATAGAATATAACTCAAAAAGTTTATTTTTTTGAAAAATGACCAATTAGTCCAGATGGAGCATTACGGACCCGATGAAGGCATGTCAAGCCCATTTGTGTGTTTTGGTTCTATACAAATGGGACTCCAAACCTGACAAATCGAAACACGAATATGTGAATCAGTGAGTGACACGATATGATACGAATACATCTTGAAAATTGAGATAAATCTTATTTCTCTTCAAGTATTCGTATTGTGTCCAATTCATGGCTGACACGTTTTCATGAGACGAATGCACGAATTACCAGACCATCCCTGAAGGGAATTATTCAAAAACAAAGTCTATGTAGTTTGACTTTATTAACGCAAAAGTCATCATAGTTTTTTTTGTTTGCAATAAAACCCAAAAAAACTGATAAATACTTGCAAAATAACCCATGTACAAGGTTAATGCCGGTTTTCAGGGCCAAATTGTAATTGAATAATCAATGATGACTTTTTCGTTACTAGCGTTAAAATTTAAGGACTTTTCTAAAGATTTTTCTTTTTATATATATACTAAATTAATTTGAAGAAAACTCATATTTATTTATTAGAAAAACTCAAAATAGAGATCCCATCTACATCCCTTTCACTAAAAAGCTAATTTTTATTTATTAAAAAGCATAATAATGATAATTTATATATCATTTTTGGTTTTTTTTTTTTTTTGTAATCATCTTCAGTAAATATCATAACTAAAATCATAATTATATGCTCCATACGACAAATTAACAAAGTCCTTTTAAATTATATATGATAACTACAGTCATGACGATGTCATCAATATCTTATATACTTCAAGAGGACTTTGTTTATTTGTCGTATGAAGCACGTTTTTAGGCCACATGCTACTTTTATTATTCAATTTTTAGGTCTTGGATGTAAAAATTGTGACTTAGGTATAAAAATGGCAATGGAAGAAGTTTCTATTTTTGTAGAACTAACCAAATTAAGTTGAAGTTGGTATATAATAGTTATAAAAACACATGTTAAATACAATTAATAGAACTTTTGTTGATTTGTCGTAAGGAACATGTTTCTAGGTCACATAGTATGTATAATGGAGCTCTATTTGTGAATAACAACCTCTGGTAAACCGTCATTTTCCGAGGTATCGTTCGATTGTGAGAGGCTCTTTGATAGACCTGACAAAGACTTCATTTTACTCATCCTCACCACATATCCCAATCGAACGGTAGGCTCTTCGGTCGACCTGGAAAAGCCTTCATTATGAGAGGCTCTTCGGTGTCGTGTCAGATTTTTCCAATTTGATTGTGGCCCAGGATTCATCAAGATTTCTTCATACATTTTAGGTGTCAAAAATTTAAAAAAGTAGTATATATATACATACATATATCCCTATTCTAATAAATGAATACGTTTATTCTCCTATTGACAAGTGTCACAATATTAAAAATCCTAATTAATATTATATGTCACCTATCATGCCACATGTCAACCTATTAATTCTCCATTTTAAATTTTAAATTTTAAATTTTTCACTCTAATTACATTAAATTAATAATTGATTCTTTATTTCAAATTTCAAATTTTAATTTCATACTCTAATTATATTAAATTAATAACATTATAATAAAAAATAAAATAAAATTTATATATATTATAAGGTGAGATAATATCATGTATTTATTTAAATCAACGATTATTATTTTATATAACTAAAAAATATCTCTTAAATTAATAATTTATTTAAAAAAATTTATTTGAAATAATTGATTAATAATTTTGAGTTTTTACTATAAAAATTTAATTAATTTTATAACCGTGGTTTTCACGGGTTATAAACTAATAT